ATTTGAGGGGGCCGTGAGAGAACTCGTACGCAGCGGATAAGGCATCTGGGGCCACGCCCACCAGGGCGACAGCCTAGAAGTGCCCGACGATTGAATCGCCTCCAAATGCCCCACTCAAGCCAAACACGCCAGGTCGCTCAAGCGACTCCGGTCACGTAACTGGTGCAGATTCCTTGGTTTGCGCAGTCGGCAGCGATGCAACACAAGCCAAGCCTATTCCCCTTTTGCTTGACCTCCCCGGAGAAATAGTGTTCGATGTGGTTGAGAGTATGAGCATGAAGCTTACGTCCGCTATTTACTCCAGCAATATTTCAACTAGTACAGCCGCTTCCGCTGCATACGTCTGGGCGTGTCAGTAAGGCTGGGTTTAGCCCCAGCAGTTCTTCAACAGTTTTCTAGTCCGGTAAGGACAACAGTTATTGGAAAACGGGCTGGCGTCGTGCCAAAGTCAGCTCTACCTGTGACGCGCTCCAGTGTATGCAGCGAAAACGACTATGAACACAATAGTGTATTTTCCTGTAAAGCGAAAATAATAAGGAGTTTTTAGGTATCCGATTCTCCCCGACTCAATGGTTCGGCTCATTCACTGGGTCATCTATCATTCCGCGAACTTAACGATGTCGTTTGAATAGATCAATCAAACCTTCTTTAATGTCTCATGTTCAAAGTCTTGTGTTCAAGAATGGTAACTGCTGCTGGGAGTGTGCTATCATGCCTCTAACCCCACTACTCGAGTGACTTGTGCGTTGTGAATTTTAGTGTATAAAATGTATTTGTACTGAATTATGTGAATTATAAACGTGGATATTGTGCTTTTTGTATCTTCTACAGACCGATCTGGGAGGTGTAAAAGCTGCTACGAGCGAATTATCAGGTGATTGGGTGCGGTTCGGCTTTGGGGGGGGGTTGCACTTGCTCCACTCTTCCCGGCTTCATGTTCTTTGTTTTACAAGGGTTGACGAGTGGCCTCTACAAAGTTTGGCTAGTATCACTTCATAGCTTCACAAGATTTCACAGATCTCCACTTGCTGGCCGTGGGAAGTAGCGCATGTGCAGGGCACCCCCTCCTGAGCCGAGGTGCGACGGTGGTGCTTTGCAGAATAACCTTTGCTAAAGATGATCCAGATCCGGCCTGCAAGCTCTTGTTTGATGGCTAAGGCGAGTAGTCACAGCTGTAGTCTGGTACCTGCAGTTTGGCCCACCAGTGAGGTCTCTACCTGCACAAAAATGATGGCAGCACCAGTGCAGGTAGATGACTGACTATTCCGCTGATGGAGGACCTAGTTCTAGCAAAATGCTCAGATGCCAGGAAAAGATCAGTGGTAAGGTAAGAACGTCACAGGCGCTTCTACCCATCTCCTTTGGGAGGGGGGTGGGGGTGATTCTGCTGTTCGATCTTAAGCGTGAGCGAATAACATGAACAGTCCAAAGCTGATAATGGGGGTGCAGTTCTGCTTAACGGTGCGGCCATTTTCTAGTTTCACTGATTCCTTTTGCAAGGGGCGTAGTAACTAAAGTCGTGCTGTGGTGCGGACCTGGTAAATGCCTTGATGAAGTCACAAACCACCTTGTTCACAGGAATTCCCAGGTATGGCTTTATGGTGGCCCCAACATCGATGGGGACAATTTGGTCCCTCAGCGAGCTGAACCGAATATGCATCCACTTTTACAATTCTCTTTACTTCGTGGATGCTGGTCGGGTTACCAGAGAAGAAAAGAGTGATTAAAAACACTCAAAACCCCAAGAGCTAAGACTTGCCGATTGGGCTAAATAGGTCTTGAGATACACTGCCTCCCTATACGCAAATAGCCCAGACACAAAGGATGAGACAATACATAGAATGACGAGATGGTAGGCGATGAGGACCACAAGGTCCATTCCAGACCCAATGTACACAATACATCCTTCACACCGTTTATGGATAAAGAATTGGTTCAGAAGGGTAGGGGTGAGGCGGCGTTACCTGGATGACCATTACAACGCCCTTGTAACTCACGAGGGGGACGCGAAATCGGGACAACCTCCGAGATTGCGGACCGGACCTGTTGTGCAAGAACACTTCCGTAGAGAGCTTTTTGAGAAGTACTATCCCCTCAAACAGTCCAGTACGAGTGATAAGAACCCAGCTGAGAATTTCTCCAACCTAGTTCTGTTCGAGGACTCAGGGCTTGTCACGACTGAAAGGCGCCTGTCAATAACAAATATTGAGAGTTACATGTCGTCCAAGAAAAGGAAAACGGCAAACGATTCTTGGGAGATAGAATATTTTCAATTTGATTTCTGTTATGACATCGCCTTTCAGTCGTGGCCTGAGTTCGCGGCAGAAGCAGAACTAAGTTGGAGAAATTTCAGCTGGGTTCGTATCTGCTCGGTGGAGGCAGGAGAGGTATGTTCGAGGGAACAGTACTCTTCAAAAGGCTCCCTACGGAAGTGCTCTTGCACAACTGGTCCATTTCAATGAGTTTATTATAGTGTAGCAATTTGTGGCACATCCTATGGTGTAAATAAATAAATAAATAGATCGACCATACTTCTTACCATACCTTCTATATCCGCCCTGGAACGGATATAGTTAAAGTTCGAATACAAATATTTATAATTAGAAGAACGTTTTCAGTAGTGTAACTCAGTTAAGGAATGCAGCTTCCAGTAAGAAGATGAAAATGGCGTGATGGATATAGATTCTTTCCACGGCTGTGCAAAGATTGACCACTGATCAGCCCCTCTTGCAAGATGCGTAACTAATTCTGCTTCTATTCGAAATTGTAGTACCTTCTGCATGCGACATGACCTATACAAAGGATGCGAGGGGCATACGTGTACAGTGCGTTTAGTCTCACGAACTCGCGTTACCAATTACCGCATCGAAGGGGATGGAAAGCCCTGGTTGACGTAGTGCGGGGTGCCATGTCTAACAATAAGGTTCCAAGTTTGCTGTTCGCTGGCTAAGCAGCGCTACATACCACTACCCCATCTCAAATAATAGGTAAGAGCTATCCCATAACAATGAATAACATCATCACAAGAATGCTGATTTATGGGCACAGGCCTCGATCTCAGTCGGGACTCAAACCTGCGCTTCGCACGTTCAGGCGGTGCGAGGTCCGTTACGCTATCGTAATAAAACAAAGTGACCAAAAGTTGGGGCGTTAGTTTCATGGAAGCAGTCTGAATAAGCGGCCTGTTTACAAATGGCGCTCTGAGTAAGGACGAGCAACTGCATATAATAGGCAGATGTGTAGTTTGTTTTGGGGAAGCCAAATGTTTATATACAAACACTACAAACAGTGTGTTCCGGGTTCCTAAGCCTCGAAGATATACAAAACTCATAACAATCACCATTTTATACTCAAATATGATTACCACCCTGGTGCTTAAAAGCCCGCAAGAATATAAAAAGTAGATAGGCATCCATTCGCCAAGGTACGGAACGAAAGGGTCCATAGTGTAAAATCATGATAAATAAAATAGTTAATAATAACTATTTAAATAAATATGGTAAATGTAACTATATAGACACATCGGTGCACTTTGGCTTGGTAGGGGTATTTTACTAGTTCCCAGATCATGGCCGTGATGCTCGTTGATGAACAATCGGTAAGCTCTTATAAAGCTGTTCAATAGCGCAAGCTTCGTTTATATTTAACAGAGGAGGTCTACAGAGACGTGTAAGTTGACAGGAACTGGTAGAAGAATTTAGCGAAGTTAAAGAGCGGCTACCACCCCCCCCTTTCCTTCCCATGTCAGCCGAAGAGCACCAAAACGTCTTTACAAGTACGGGTGGTTTTTCTCAGCTTACTCGGATTTCCTCCTCAAGTTAAAAATGTAGAATATGAGTCTCTTCACGGACTAGCAAGCCTCGCTTTGAGGCCTGCCATCTATGTAAGTTTTTAGAAACAGTTTTGTTCAGTAAACTGAAAATACAGTCGAAAATCGGTAACCTCAACTCTAACTTGTAGATTTTTATCCCTGAAGCAGTAAGTGGAAAAGTAGTTAGAATTAACTCTAACGCTGCTGAAAATGACACTCACAATAATGCAACGGATGTATTTTGTGGACCTTTCTACCACAGGGATGAATGATGAACTGTAGAGCGTGAGCATCGAGTCCACTTGCAGTGCAAATGTAGAGATTCACTTGAAGAATTAGGAAAAACGAAGGCAAACCAGGGCCCAAATCAGGTCTGACGGCCGCGCGGCTTCGATTGTTCTAAACTGTCGTATAGTCAAGACAATAGTTTAGAAACAATCAAAAGCGCGAGGGATTCGTAAGCGGGGTCATGAAGGGGGCAGAAGTAAAGGCAAGCGGAGAGAAAAGGAAAGGGCGTGGGAATCATCATTCTGGGAGATTTAGATTTTTTTTTCAGAGATTTATTTGTTCAGTAGAATGCGTAGTAACAATGTGAAAAATTTCTTCCAAAAAAACTCGAAAGACGCCGAAAGCTCAGAAGTTTTTTTTTTGAATAAATCTTATCCTGCAATATTTCCAAAATTTCGGGACAACAGGGCCTGACGAAGGCGCTACGCACCGGAATATTGCAATATAAGATATATTTTAAAGAACTTTCGAGAACTTTTGCGTATTGTCTTTCGAGTATTTTAAAATTAATTTTTGGAATTTCACATTGTTACTACACATTCAGATAGGAAATAAGACTTCGGGACAGCACAATACTCCATTTGTTCGATTAGAGCTGTAGAGTAACGATGATGAGTTTCAGGAGTTGTATAGGTAGAACAAGAAAACTTCAGAGAGTTGGTACTGGGCATGACGAGAACAGGGAGGGGAGTCCTGCGCTGTGAAATACTCGTAGTCAGAATAGGAACGTTTTGGTAGAGGAGAGCTTTCTAACGACGTGTCTTACCATCAAATGATCATCGCGTTGAACGTGGAAGATTTTCGCAGAGCTGACGATCCGCCGTAGTACGAGGTGTCAGATGAGCACTGAGGGAATTGTGCTATGGTGTGTGAGTGTGGATGATTACATTGTGCATCTGGAATTGTCTATGATTCGGCCACGCTCCTAATGCGAACCACATGCACTGGCCGAATGGCGATGAGGCCAATCGCTCCGATAAACACTAAATCGCTGCCAATCGTGCTCTATCGCTCAACTTCTCGTCTTACACTTTTGCATAGCACGCGCACACCATCACAGTGCCTACGATTTCTCTTTGGACAATGATGTTAAATCGAGGATGTTTCGCCTGGTCTAGAGCTTCACGATCAGGGATACAGCATCATGGGGTGTGGCAATGTTGGGCCAATACGATCCCCCCACCTGAAAGAGGATCTTGGCCCGTCTTAGAGGGTAGCTTCGCTAAGGCACCATCCCTTCGGTTCCTTCCTCTTCCGATCACGGAATGAGACTGATCGAGCGGAAAAAATCAACCTTTCCAAAAAAAATGTTTCTCGGGCCAACGACCATCCTCCCTCCACCCAGCCAACAAATACGACCCTCCTACTGGGAAATCCCCAACAATGATGTGCCCTGGTCTAGCGTCGAGAGGGGCCAGGGATGAGTATGTAGTACACATGAAAAGGAAAAAGTCAATAACTGGTGAAAATTTTTCCCCAAAGGACAAATTTTCTCTCAAAGGCACATACGACCCTCCCCCTTCTCCCAA